GTTTTTGTTCGCCGAACCGTTCTTTCTCCTTGATGTAATATTTGTGTAATTCCAGTAACGACAAGCACAGGGTGTCGCGTAAGAAGCCAGTGGTCTGATCACAGGGTAATCTTTTCAAAAAGTCTCGAATGCACACTGACAATCTTTTAAAATCTGGAAAACAATTTACAATTTCTGAATACTTTAATTACTACAAGTAATTACACCAGGCTGTGTACAACAAATATGCATTAACTATTACTAAAACCAACCACGTTTCTTGTTGACTGCCATTGTCCTCAAATAGATGTGCAAACCATCGTCTAAATAATATCATATGAACAAAATTATGGAGAAAAAAAGAAAAGAAAAGCCATTGCTATGGTGCTGTACAAAAAACGTAATGTATTTGCTGATTTTGTTTACATTTGTTAATTGGCAACACGCGCGCGAAGTACACGCAGTTCACGCAGTGTGGTCAGAATCAGTAATTTTTTTACTTTGGTAAGAAAGTTTTTTAGTATAAATTTTGGTAATATTTTGGTACTATTTGGTAGTACTTTTTTTGGTAAAAAATTGTCTTTCCATTGTTTATCTAGAATTTGAGGTACAAAATGTTGCAAAACCGTCACCTTCAGATCCGGCGCTACGAAGAAGACCCTGGGGCGAGGTTGTGAATACGTCACATAGTTAGGTCCTGGGGACGAGGATGCGTCATTGCTGATAACTGCGCGCGCAACAAAAATAGAAATTGTACACGCGGGAAAAATCACAGTGGAAAATCCAATAAAAAAATCATATAAAAAAATGAAATAATGGCTGCTGGAAGACAATCAAGACAATTGTGCAATTTTTTAAGATTTTCAAGAGGAAGATATTCGACGATCAAGGAAGAAATTACACATTTTGGATTCGAGACTATCTCAAAGAAAGAAAAATCAGAAAGAGGTAAATATCTTATGCAATTTTTGTATCCTAGCTACTTAGAGTAAAAGTAATAAGCTAAAAAAAATAGGTAAATATAATTCTTTTAGCTATTAAAAGACTAATTTTATTAATAAGTAATTTGCTCAATGAGCAGCAACGTTTAATCTGTCACCTTGGTAGATGATTGATTATTAATCACACAATTCTTAACCAATCAGATTGCAAGAAACACCATTGATTTTAAAATGAATATAATAAATGTGTTTAATTCCAATAACACTCTGGCCTTGTCCAGAGTGATTTAGGTTTCATTGATTTGAAACACGTGTACCAATAAGAGATTGTATTTTTGCAGTTCATCACGTGTTTGAAAATGTGGCTTTGAAATATGATCTAATGAATGACCTAATGAGTGGTGGTATTCATCGGACTTGGAAGGATTATTTCATTAGAAAAATAAATCCTTGTTATGGGAACAAATTATTAGATGTTGCAGGGGGAACTGGAGATATTGCAATGAGATATCTGAATTTTATAAAGTACAATCAGTGGGAAAAAAAGAAAAAAGAAAAATGGGGAGAAATGTCACAAGGAAAAAGAAGTGAAATTATTGTCTGTGATATTAATCAAGCAATGCTTGATGTTGGGAAGAGAAAAGCTAAACGTTTTGGAATAGAAAATGGTAAGGGTTTGATAAATATTTTAATTAAGAATTAAAAAACGAGTCGCGTGCCTTTATGGTGTAATAATGCACGATGGGGGAATGTTGGGAGAATACGAGAGAAGCTTGTAAAACACGAGGCGTAGCCGAGTGTTTTACAAGCTTCTCGAGTATTCTTCCAACATTTCCCCGAGTGCATTATTACACCATAAAGGCACGCGACGAGCTTTTTTAATTCTTTTATAATATAAGAAGAAATTATAGGGCAACAACAAAATTTATTTATTTGATCAATAATAAAATTCTCCTTACATGTTATTTAAGATGTTGCTTAGCAACAAAAACTTCAAAAGCCAGAAGCGTGCATTATGGCCTCACAATGCACATGCAGTAGCCAATCAAATTGCTCGTTATATCATACTTATATTATAAGGATATCTAATACACTTTTCTTTTTTTTCTTCTCTCCATTGTATACATTATACTTTTCCATCCTCTTAGATATAGCATGGGTATGTGGTAATGGTGAAGCACTACCTTTTGAAGATAACACATTTGATATTTATACAATTGCATTTGGAATACGTAACTTTACCAATGTTGAAAAGGTTTGTCTCTAAATAATTCAACCAATTTTTGCCAACAAGATTGTGCATATATGGATGGTGAATGATGAGTGATTTTTATATAGACACATCTACTTGGCAGAAGAAATTAATTTTCTATATTTCAGGCTACCTTTTCTATTGCAGGCTCTGGAAGAAGCTCATAGAGTATTGGTTCCAGGTGGAAGATTTATGTGTCTTGAATTTAGTGCAGTTACAACTCCAATTTTTGAGAGGTACTATAAAGTATTTTAATTAAATTGACTCATGAAAGCAAGGTCAAGGTGCACCAGGTAGAATTTTTCTTTTAGGTTATATGAAATGTATTCATTTCAAGTGATACCAGTGATGGGACAAATTATTGCTAAGGATTGGGATTCATATCAATACTTAGTGGAAAGTATTAGACAATTTCCTAATCAGGTATTTTTTTGCTTGTTTATGGTACTATATATGTTTGGCTCACTTTGTGTTGTTAGGAGGAATGGGAACCCTCAAATAACTGGTAAAAGTTATTATTACAACTTGTAGGATGAATTTGCTTCATTGATAAGAGATTCTGGCTTCAGAATGGTGAATTATGAAAATCTAACTTTTGGTGTAGCAGCTATTCATTCAGCATTCAAACTGTAAATATATTTTTCATAGAGACGATGTATATTTTTGAGGTATAAATTAAATCATGCCAATAATATATGCCTAATAAACCCATGCCTAAGGCACCACTTGCATTACTAATCATGTTGGTGATTCACAAACCTTTTTAGTTCGATTTTTACCCTTCCTGTTTCTGAAAGTTGCTAATTTGAAACAATTGCATGTTTAGAAATTTATTTCACTCTCACAACTCAACTGAATATAAAATTTATACATCAATGCATATGTTTAGTATCTATATATTATTATATTGCATAACGTAATGTTAGTTCAAATGTTTTATACAAAACAAGATGCCATTAAAGTTCACTCAACCAGACTTAAACAACAAAATAGCAACTTGTCCCAAGTAGAAGTAAATGAAATGCTTTGTCTCGTGTGTAACATACGATCCAAAGTTTCTGCCCACGATACAATGCCATGTTGGGTTAAATTTCTTGTCAAATTCTTTCTTTACATACGCGGCAATGTCTTTTTCGATGTTAAATTTCTCCATTGCCTGGACCGTGCAATCAATCGCATCTTGTTGCATGTCTTCTGACATATCTGCATTCTTTACAACAGCCTTTCGTTCGGACATCTGAAAATATAGCACCATTAGCAACCGGCGAATAAACAAACTAACGAAACTACACAGGCTGAAAATTATATTCTTTTATATTTTACACAAGCTGAAATTTTACGAAATGTTTTGGTAATGTAAATGCAACATTGCAAGTAAACTTTACCTTTTTGCTAATTCGTTTTCAACGTGAAATTGAAGGTAGACTCTTTGGGAAAAACTCGTTTCAACCAAAACGTAACAACACAACTTTCCGAATGAAATTTGCTTCTTTCCGGATGTTGCTTTAAAAAGTACGCCACGTGCTTTCTCCTCGCTGATTGGATTTCGCATGGCGTCCTGTTTCAGTATCCTGTTTCACACCATCATGCTTTGCGCGATTTTCACTTCATTGAAAATCTTGAAAGCGTGGAAAACAGTGGTGGAAACACATCTGTATGTTCCATACATCCATATTTGGAAAATTATACCATATATGGGGTACTTTTTTTACTTCGGAATCTGTAGACGCCATTTTATTTCATAGTATTCTATTTCAGAAAGAAATTACCTAAATTCTTGTTCAAAATGAATCGAGGCAATGCTGAGTGTCGTGTTTATGTAGGGAATCTTCCAAATGACGTTAAAGCAAAAGAATTGGATGATTTATTTTATAAATATGGCACAATTAAGGACATAAGTTTAAAGAAAGATACACGTGGTGGTCAACCATTTGCTTTTATTGAGTTTGAAGATCCAAGGTATTTTGTTCGAAAATGAGTATTTTTCAACTTAAAAAAAATATGTAATATTTATTTTGATGTAAAATATTGTTTTTGTAGAGATGCCCAAGATGCAATCAGGGGTCGTGATGGCTATGATCTTGATGGTAATCAGTTGAGGGTTGAATTACCACGTTCAGCTGGGGGTGGTGGTGGCTTCAGAGGAGGTCGTGGTCAAAGTCGCTTTGGTGGAGGAGGTGGACGCGGCCGTGGTGGAAGACCTTTTATCCCCCGTGGTAATGGTTTTCGTGTTTTAGTGAAGAATCTTCCTCCAACTGGAAGCTGGCAAGATTTGAAAGATCATATGAGGGAAGCTGGGGATGTCATGTTTACTGATGTTTTCAGTGATTGTACTGGAGTTGTTGAGTTTGCACGACATGAAGATATGAAGAGAGCTGTCAGGATATTAAATGATACCAAATTTCGTTCCCACCAGGTTGGAGTCAAGATATTGTTGTAATGTATGTTTTGTATTTCATAGGCTTTTATATTTCTTACCAACCCTCTCATTTCTTTAGAATGAAACATCATATGTGACTGTTGAGGAAGATGAAACAGCAAGACCTGGTAGATATAGCAGATCAAGAAGTCCAAGACGTTCACGAAGTCGATCATTTTCACCAAGAAGATATTCAAGATCGCCAAGGCGATCTTATTCAAGAAGCCGCTCACGGTCTAGATCTTAAATCATTGATGCAAAAAGTTTTCAGCACTTGTTATGTGATATATGGTTTTCAGGGAACCTCTGGTTGCAGATGTTTGTATTGTATGGCAGAATATCAAAATACTGTAAACATATGAGTGATTTTCGAGGCAGACATTCTTAAGTTGTCAGTCTAATGCTATCATTGGTCTTAACAGAACATCTATGGCTAAATCTTATGGTAAAAGAAATGGTTCAACCAACATCAAATTCAATAAACATATTTGAATATTTTATATATTTGTAGATGATTTAATCCTCCTGTGTATGGACATGGAGTGGAGGAATCGTAGGACAGATAGGATTTTGGAAGGATAGGATTACTTTTTAGCTTGGTATGAAAACCTCATATTTCTGCCACAAAAATCATACACATATTCACTCGCAAATGATATTTCATTAAAATAGGCAACTTTCTCTCGAGTTTCAGTATTAACATTCCTTTAACTTGTGTTGTACAGATCTCACTTAATTGTGGAGGAAATATATGGCTAATATTTGGAGGATATATTCAAAAAGGAGTGAATTTTAGAATTTTGGAGGAGAATGGAAAATGTTTGTCTTTTTGATTTTGAAGGAAAAAGGGGGGAAATTTTGAGCTCTTGGAAGATAAAGAGAGATTATTTTGGACAACTGCAGAATTAGAATGAATATTTGGAGGATAAAGAATATAATTCTATCAAAATGGTAACATGAGAAAATTTGCTATGTAGCCAAATGCATTTGAAGCAAGCAATAATTGGCCAAGGATTCCAAACAAATATAATTACATCTAGTTTGTGTAAAACATCACCCAGGCACAAAATGCCTGTGGTGCACATTGTTCATAATTTAGGATACCCTGAATCCTTTGGAGGCTTTGCCATCAGAAACTATAGATATTATGGAACTGGGTTGATTCCTTGCATGAATGCAGCAATAGGACACTAACTAGCAGTGTAATGAGGTATGAATTATTGACAATGTGCAGGAAGATGTGATTGATAGCACAGTATGATGAGAAATGTAGATCTTATTGTAGCATAATATGCTAGCTAACATACAGGTGACTGGTTGGTACAAAGGATTGATAGGATTTACAAACCTAATTTTGTCAAGAGTTTAATGTTACATTCCTGGTTTTTAGGTAAGTAAAGCATGGTATTAGCAAGTTATCTTGTCACTTGAACTCCTGATGTTTCAGTAACAAAATTGGCAATAGAATTGTCAGAGGGAATAGTTACAATGCATAAATGTAATACAAGTTGGGAATAACCAAGTTATAGTCTGTACAATAGAAAGTTTTATTGACTATAGTGTAACTAAAATCATGCTATATATATGGGGTTCACAGGAGATGCACTTGTTCCCTCAATCCCTTGGAGATGGCGATCTTGAGTGACTCTTAGCTGGAGACTTGGAGCGACTTCGTGATTTGCTTTTTGATCTGCTTCTAGAGCGGTTGTCTTTGGAGCGACTACGGGAACGTTTACTGGATCTGCTTCGAGAGCGACTTCTTGATCTAGAGTAGCTTTTCTTCCTACGACCACCACTTCCAGAATCATCTGTCACAGTCACTCTGCTAGTCTCACCCTAAGTTAAACAAGGTATTTTAATTACATTACCAAGAAACAAGACACAGCACAACCTTTCCATAAGAAAAATGCCAGAATTAAGACAACGCTAAAATAGTTTACCATTCATCAAATTTTGTTGGAAAAATTTTAGGCTTTCAAGTATCCAAAAGAATTTGTCCATTATATTGTAATATTACAGTATACACATTGGGTAGTATTCTATATTTCTTGAGTTTACATACCAGCACCATAAAACTAGGTTGTTTCAACTTCAAAGGTATTAAACTGATTGAGTTATCATCGTGTTAAAATAATTGATTAATCAAGGCAGGACCTCAGTGACCATCAGAAATGATTCCTCATTGATCAGACTTTTGAAATGAAAAAAATTCCTCATTGAATCTGTGCACATCAGAAATAGTGCCTTATTGTTGGAACTGAATCCTGATGCTTGAAATTGGTCTTGACAATTGAAATCATTGGTATTGACCAAAGGAATCTGGGCACTGATTCCTCAGTGTTGAAAATTGATTCCTGATTTTGAAAGGAGTCCTCTCATTGATATTGAATCCTCATTGATGAGAATGAACATCAAATTTGTTGATATGATTACAACTATTGTGTTGAGGATATTTATATACTGAAATGGTAAAAATTTGAATATAGTTAATAATTTATAAACCAACCAGTGATTAAATTATACATGTACGTAAAGTATAGCTCACCTCATGTGAACGAAACTCAGTGTCATCCAAATTCTTCACAGCATATTTGACATCGTCAGAGTGTGCAAACTCAACTATACCAGAACCATCTCCATACACCTCGGCATATAATACTTCACCCGCTTCTCTCATGTGGTCTTTAATATCTTGCCAACTGCCCGTTGGGGGTAAGCCTTTCACTAACACTCTGTTGTTTGAACGTCGTGGTGGTACCCCACGTCCAGATCTGCCACCCCCACCGTAACTACCACTATTACCATAACCACGGCCACTATCGCGTCTGTTGTTCCCGCTACCACGAGTGAACTCCACTCTGACTCTACGACCATCAAATTCATAACCATCACGACCTCTAACTGCATCCTCAGCATCCCTAATAAACAAAGAAATTTCAAAGAGCATAAGACCATGTACCTAACACATTCAACATGCATGCGTCACGTGTTACCGCGTGGTTTTAGGGAAGCCAAAAGTTTTCTCTTTTTCAACAGGTAGTTTTCCAGCAACTACAGAGTTTGTGAAACATTTTATGCTTAAAAGAATTTACCTGGAATCTTCAAACTGCACAAAGGCGTAGGATAAGTTTTCTCCTCGACGACTCTGTCGCGCTCTGGTGGCATCGCCACGTTTAATTCGTATGTCGGCAATCCTGCCGTATTTATAAAAGATATCTTCTATATCTCTCTCCCTACAATCTTCTGGAAGGTTTCCAACATAGATTCTGCAATCATTGTTGTTCCCTCTGAACATACTGTCTCGTCTCTAGACATCAAAATATCTCCGTATGCTGATTTAATAAAATACTGTTTGAAAACAGCTTCAAACACTGAAACTTGAAAAATACGGCCAGTGATACGGCTACTGTGTTTCCACTTGGTTATGAGGAACTTGTAATTCACCTAGTTTTCATTATGGTGCAATTTGAGGTTTGAACTAATTTCCATATGACCAGGGGTCAATAGTCTTGATTGTTAGCCCTGGAACCATCAAATATTACTAGAATTTCCTACCAAAGTTTAAGCTTCTGTAAAATGAACATTTCACTTTTCTTTTATTAACTGTTTAAAATGTTACATGGTTTCTCTACAGGTACACATATCCTCCCTTGAATATTTGACAATATTTTGTAACCATAGTATCATTAGTATGCACTTTATGGTATCTTCCACACCTGACATGTCTATAAACTCTATGTTTCTCTGTCTTGCAAATGAATTTTTGCATTTTGCAAAAATATTTTATGTGTTGACTTTGTGTTGTCCTGTATAAATTTTGAAAAAAAGCTTGGAGTAAGAATTTCAAAATTGTGTAACTATGGTTCCAGCAAGTCCATTTTGTGAACCATCTCTAAATACAATATAACAGTTCCATATATAAGTCCTTCAAGAAAATTTAATTCAAGCTGTATTTTTGGAATATTTGGAAATAATTTAGCTTCACATGGCGACTTGAGTCCTTGTTCATATAAACCTTGAATGTTAAACTTTTCAAACCGATTGAATTTTATTTTATCAGGTTCCATCCTGCCATCACCAGGAATATGTACCACATCAGAGACACTAGAAAAATTGATTGAAATATTTCATGTGATGTTTTGTATCAAATGTATGAAAAGCAATCATTTTTATTAATAAATATTTTCTTGTTAAGATCTTACGTGTCTCCGTTCTGAACACTCTTCATACTATTTCGTACATCTTTAAAATATTCATACACAGCTATTTTTGTACTACCAGGAATGAATATGGTTTGCTCAAAAGTGACAACTTGTGTTGATAATTGTTTGTGCACGAAAAACACTATGATACCTACAAAACTTGACCATAGAAAAACTTTGAATATCATACTTCTGTAATTGGAATTTTAAACTATACATGTACTAAAAATACAAACAGTTGGTTCACTGTGTGACATTGCCATTTGTCAGTATCAGAAACCATTTTGTTTCTCCGTAATTTTCCGATTATGACACGAACTGTCAATCTTTAATAATACATATCAAGATATTTTTACCACATTTTTTCATATAGTGAATAATTGAATGTGTACGACAAAATCGGGATTGATAACTAACATAAAGGAAACCATTTTTGCAATAAGATCGGGCTGTTTCTGATTGAAACACGTTAGTTTTTACGCTCAATACTCTCATTCTGTGGTTTACGAAGTCTTTCCGATGTCGTTCCGGAATCCGGAAATGCCCGTAGCCTTCGAATGCACAAAGTGACAATAACAAACGTACATGCCGAAAGAGAAGAAAGATATGGATCAGATTGGATAGTCCACGAAATTACCCTCAATTTATGGTTTGAGAGCTGTGAAACATTGCAAAATAACAAGAATTGAAAATAATAAACAATATAACCTTGTCTCTGCATGTCTAGAACGTGAAGATCAGCGATATATTGAAAGATCAATTATTGAAAATATAAACTGAGCTTTGTTGGCCTTTGTGGTAATTTCATTGCAGATTTTTCTTTTAATCCACCCAAATCGTAAAATTCAATGGAAGAATCATCAGCATATAAATGGTAGGATATCAAATTAATGACTAGAAATATAATATAACGTAATACGTTCTAAATATATATCATATATCTGTTATATATATAGTTGTTGGAAGGGCCGTGAGGGTACTATATTAAGTTTTTCTCTTTTGGAGGCTGTTGATGACTCTGGACAGTTCTCGTGTTGCAACGTTGGTTGTATCAGTTGTTCTTATTATTTATGGCAGTTTTAGGTGGGTAATTGTATCGTGTATTGGGTTTTTATTAAATCATTAAATATTGCTATTTTGCAAAAACAAAAGGAAATTCAATAGGAAATTCAAGTGTGCTTTTGATCAGGGTTTTTTTCTTCATGCATTTTGTTTCATTCAAAGTTTAATAATTGTGTTTAATGCTTTAGATCTCTTTCTGTTGAATCATCAAAACAATATGAAGGTGATAATGCAGAGAGTGAAACTTCAAATTCTTCATTCTTATTTTTTCATAATTTTTCATCAGGTAAGTGCATCAATAATATATAGTACCATAAGCATATATTTGCTGTGAATAATTTCTATCAGTCATTATTTCAAGATAGTCAACATAATTAAACCTCAATGCTATGATAATTTTCTAGATTTTCACACAATAAGTTCAACACAAGCAATGCTTCTTCCTATTGGTGCCTCATGCTCCTTGTTATTTATGTTTTTCTTTTTTGAAAAATTCCAGTCAATATTTGCCTTCTGTACAGTTGGTATGTTTCCTTTGAGTACACATTTACCAAAACGAAATAAGAAAATTATATTTAATTTTTAAAAATGTTTTAGTTTTAGGGACAATTGCTTTTTCTTTTCTTCTGCTGCCTTTATGTCAATATGTTTTACGGCCAATTGGAAATCCAAACTGCAAGTATGTACCTATAAATTGTCACATGTTCCTTGTCTTGCCAATTACATATGGTGATGCGGTATTTGCAATAATTAGAATACTAGTTAAAGGCTATCGTTATCTGCTAGAATATCATTTGGGTCATGTGGACGTTTTACTCAGGCAGAACTACTATCTCTATTCTGTTCATTATCTCTTGTTATGGTTTGGATGATGACTGGTCATTGGATATTAATGGATGGTTTGTTGCATTTTGTGTCTATAAATTACCATGTAAACATTTTAATCTATTTACCTGTCCTGTCTATTCAGTCTAAACTATAGAATGTTATGTAACTCTTTCATAGCCTTAGCAATGGGAGTGCATATCAATGAGCATATTACGACTTCCAAGTTTGAAAGTGTCAATTCTACTTTTGCTTGGTCTGGTAGTTTATGATGTATTTGGGTAAGTCTTTTTCAAAATATCTTTAATATTTTCATATTTCCTATAGTTTTCCGACTGCCTTTCTTTCTCTTCTTAGGTTTATTTCTCAGTGTATATATTTAAAGATAATGTCATGGTGAAGGTGGCTACACAGCCAGCTGATAACCCAGTATGTTGGTCATTCACTCATTTCATACTTGTCCTTAATATCTCACTACCTTCATGGAGATCCATATTTGTCATAAGTAAATTGTAAGTTTTTATCTAGATGTCATTTGTAGCTGACAAAATAGGATCAACAACCTATGAAGAAGTTCCTCAATCTAAGCATCTTTCTTTGCCAGGAAAATTGGTATTTCCAAGGTGTGTGTTATGTAATAATATCTCAAACATTACATTGTCATCCTCTAAAATCTGTTTTTTATAAATTATGATATACAGTTCATAGCTTTTTTGCAAATTTTTGAACTATTATTTGTACAATAAACTGAAATGATTGCTGAAAAGATTTGTAGTGCTCTACTAGAAGTTCACGAAGGCAGTCAGCCCCCTGTCGGATGTATATACCATCAGCCACTTTATGTATGTAGCATAAACCACAATGTATCAATTACCATGCAATAACCATGAAACACACTTTCCTTTTTAGTTACAGTGATAGAGGAAGAATGTCAATGCTAGGACTTGGAGATATTGTGAGTTTTATAAATTAGGCCACCTTTTTAGTTTACGTAAATTAGCTTGTAGGAACATGCTAGACCAGAACTGACTTCTAATTCATATTTAGGTCTGCCTGGGCTTCTCTTATCATTGTTTACGTTTTGACAATCATAAACGTCAGACTTTAACAAATTCAATTGAAGAGTCCAAGATTAAGTATTTTCATTGTTCACTGATAGGATATTTTGTAAGGTAAGTATCAGGATGAAATTGTTTATTCAGGTACAAAAAGATCATTTTTCATATTATCTTTCATTAAGGTTTACTAACAGCAACAATAGTGTCTGAAGTCTATAAATCAGCCCAACCTGCATTACTGTTCCTTGTTCCTTCCACTCTGCTTCCTTCTTGTCATTGGATATTTAAATGTGAGTTTTTCTAATATTTTTTTGTTATTTTATGTTCCAACTGATTAATGGACTACACTCATCATTTAGGGTGACTTGAAAGAGATGTGGTCTAATCCATTTGGAAATATAACAACTAAATTAAAACAGATAGAGATTTGAGGGTATCTGATAAACTTGCATTAGTGAGATGCCTAGATAACCTGGTCAGAATTACAAGTCTTTGGAAATGAAGGTTTTTGCATCTCAGAAAACATAGGCCAGGAGATGAAAGGAAAGCAATCTAAATGATGTTCTTGGGAAGATCTTTGTGGAGTGTGAGAAGAAACAGATTTTCTCATACTCAATATATCCTTCTTTTAGTTGGACTATGGTGCTTTAAACAGGTCATTTTAATTTAAGTTTGCTCAGTTAAATACAAGAAAAGTGTCAGGGCAGTAAGTGTATGCTTCCTGGACAACTGAACAATTATTGACAGCAATTTGACTTCAAAAAACATGTTCATATCACTAAACATAATGTATATACAATTTTATTGTGCAGTGTAAAATGTGTAACAAGTAATTATGTGGCAACTTTCAAATTACAGTAAAGGTTACTAGAGGAAATTAATATTCTCTTTTTAAATATTGAAGTTACATTCCAAAGCCTTTCTATGGGTCATGTGATCAACTTCAAACAGGGCATTCCTCTAGTACGCATTTTACTTTAATACAGACTAAAAGTTTTGGTGAAGAATTTTGTAAAGTGGTCTGGTGAAGTGGAAGCTGTCTTTTTCCTCCACGCTGAGCTTCCTTGGTTTACGAATTACGAAAGCAAGTAGAGGCGGGAAAGAAGAAATATATAACAAGAAACGTAATTTTATAATGAGTTCGGAAGTTGAATTCAGTGATATATGTTTGCTAGTTAGAGGATGTTTGGTAAGTTAAATAAAATATATGGATGGAGATACTGTTCGTAAGGACAACTCTCAAATGTAAAAACACGTGTATTTTTAAATATTTGATTAGAATAGTGGAAAGTTAAAACTTCATAAAACTGGCGTCGTATTCAAGAACAACAAAACTGGCAAAGTTGAGCAGTTGAATTCCAGCGATTTAGCATCCGTAAAATGGATGAAAGTTGCATTTGGATACGAAGTAAAATTTATCCTCAATACTGGAGCACAGTTCAAGTTTGAAGGATTCAAAGAGGCGGTAAGACAACGATTCCGTAATTGACTGCTATTATTATTGTTATTATAACACTATTACTGTAGTAAACTACACTGACAACAAGGTGATATCCAGGCAGGTCCAACAAACCTATTTAACCCCCCTCCCACTATAATGTTACCCCACCCTCCACTATAATGTTACCCCACACCCCCTTATAATGTTACCCCACCCCCCTCCCACTATAATGTTACCCCCTTACAGGTTTGACCCAGGGGCCCTCTGTAATATTCATGTAATGCGACCTAATAACATGTACCACGCTTCCCAAGGAAACTCCCTTCTGGCTTCTGCAGCCTCAGCAATCAAAATAGCTCCTCAATCCCAAAGTTTTTTCAAATTAAACTGAATTACAATAGTATTCAGCCCATTCACTTGGACCTGACATACAGTGGGTATTAGATTATCACTCTCTAGTTGTATAAAATATGAAGAAAATGAATGGTTATATTAGCACATTCACTTTGCCAAATCACTTATCAGAGTGTCAATATATACAAGTAATAGCAATGAGGGGTTTAGAAAATCCAGAAGTCATCTTAATTCAGGACTATTGTACATAACATAGTTTAATTATCCTATTTGCAGGATTTTGAAAAAATCTCCAGTTTCATTTCAAGTAATTTTGGAACAGAACTTGAAGAAATTGAATTGTCTGTTAAAGGTTGGAACTGGGTAGTACCCAGTTCACAGGTTAGATGTTTAATGACTTACTTTTTCTCTAAACTTGAATGATCATGTTTCAAATTATTATTAAATACATTACTTGTTTCCCCTCAGATTCAGTTCTAAGCTTTGATGTTGACAACAAACCAGCATTTGAGATTCCTTTGAAAGATGTTTCTGCTGCAACAACAGGTTTGTGCTTATACTTACAAGCTTGCAATATGGTTGAGGGACATACTCTCTCATAGTCATATAGGTCATATCATATTTTTGCTCTTGTTTGATCAAGTGTTGTACATAATATTTAGGCAAGAATGAAGTAACTCTGGAATTTCATCAGCATGATGATGCAGAAATTGCATTAATGGAAATGAGGTTTTATGTCCCACCAAACAATGATGGCACTGATGCTGACCCTGTAAAAGTGAGTTTTAACTATTGAGCAAATAAGCCTGAACCAGAGGCAGTTTTATATATAAATTAATGAGTAAAAGAAAGGTGAATATGGCATTGTATATCTTTGTGCAGACATTCCACGAGAAAGTACTTGCAAAAGCAGATGTCATTCAAGCTACGGGGGATGCAATTGTTACCTTTGAAGAAGTTGCAATATTGACACCAAGGTTTGGTATCAACTGTATATATTATATCTTATTACCACAGTGTGTCATGTTCCTATCAGTGATTTTTTCTTGATATTTCCAGAGGTCGATATACAACAAAAATCTATCCAAGTTTTCTACAACTCCATGGCAAAACCTATGACTACAAGATTCCATATACAACAATCTTAAGAATATTCCTTTTACCCCACAGAGATAATAGATTTGTGTTTTTTGTGGTAGGAAACAGAAATCTTTCTTTTATATCAGCTGTGTGCTATCACTAGCTACTCATTTTCTATTTTTTTGCTGTAAATAATCGTAAAACTTTTCTATAGATCAGCACAGATCCACCAATTAAACAAGGTCAAACAAGATATCCTTTTATCATATTCCGCTTTGACAAAGATGAGGAAGTTGAAGCTAAACTGAACCTAACCGAGTAAGTTTTATTGGTTCATTCAATTCACAATCATTGAATTCTAACATCAAAGAAACACTTCTGACCTGATATGTTTTCCCCTGTATGCAAGAGTTCTCATTCTATTGCATATGGCTAGGTGCACTTTACTGTTCTACTCAGTGTACAATGAATGGCACTAAATTCTGATGTTGAAAATGGTGCAACAATTTATTGTTTAGAGAAGAATTGACTGAAAAATATAAATCCAAATTATCATCAGAAATGAATGGACCCATTCATGAAGTGATGTCCAGACTTATTAAAGCTGTGACTGGCAGCAAAATCACAATACCTGGAACTTTTAAAAGGTATATATCTGACTATCCACTGCGCAGTATATATACCAATGAATTATACTTTGCTGAGAATGTTGTTTCTGTTTCAGCCATAGTTCATTCAGCTCAATCTCCTGCAGTTATAAAGCAGGAAGTGGTTTCTTCTACCCATTAGAAAGAGGTTTCATGTTTGTACCAAAACCTCCAGTCCATATTCGTTTTGATGAGATATCTTGTGTGAACTTTGCTCGAGTGCAAAGTGGAGGAGGGACGTCAAGTAGATCATTCGATTTTGAAGTTGAGCACAAGAATGGCAGTGTAATAACATTTAGCAGTATTGACAAGTATGTTTTATATTTAACAATAATTTATTAAGTGCAAGTGTCAAACTCTGTATTTGTCTCCTAATTATAATAATATGTTTCTTTTAAGGGAGGAATACAGCAAGTTATTTGATTTTGTGAGTGCTAAGAATCTCAAAATTAAGAATAAGGGAATTAAGGTAGCAATCATGCAATATTCTGCACGTCATTTAACAATTCAATATCAAAGTAAAAATTTTCTATATTTTTAAGAAAAAAGTGAGAACTTCTGGAGATTACTCTGGGTCAGATGAAGAGGAACATGATGCTTATTTAGAACAGATGAAAGCCGAAGGAGCTGAAAGAAATGAGGATGACAGTGATTCTGAAGGTAACAAAGGATTAGGAAAGAATTATTCATTCATCATTTGTAGTACGTCTTTGTTCTCAGGCTAATACTTGATTAAACTGTTGTATTTTATCTGTTAATTGGTCTTTCAGATGGTTCTGATGCTTCCTTTAATCCTGGTGATGAGGACGAGAAAGATGTTAGAGAAGAGTATGTGCCTAATATATTAATGTGTTTAAACATACAAATTAGCTTGTGGTGTTAAGTAAGGTTAATGATATCTCTCAACATCTAAAAGAAAGTGATGTTGAATCCTATATGTCACACAAATTAAAATTGCGGTGGTCTTGGTGGTCACAGTGACTGTAAGACCAATCATCATTCATTGTGAATGATGAAGAAAATCCTGTTATATTTATTGTAAACTGTATTTAGGTATGCCAGTGATGTTTCACCAACAGACAGTGAAGATCAGTCTGATGAATCTGAGGATGAAGGAAAATCAAGAAGTAAAACTCAAAAAGAAAAGAAAAAAGGTAAAGAAGAGCGAAGAAAAACTGAAGAAAAACCAAAGAAGGATAAGGTAGTTTTTTGTATTTGATATGTCCCAGTAACTTTAAAATTTGCAGAATATTTGCAGTAAATATAGTCATTGTTGTTTCCACTCATTTTAGAAAGAAAAGGAAATAAAGCAAGTAAAATCAAAGAAACGAGTAAAAAAAGACCCAAATGCACCCAAGAAAGCACTTTCAGCATACATGTTATGGTTGAATCAAACTCGAGATGAAATTAAAAAAGCCAATCCTGGTATTTCAATCACAGAGCTATCCAAGAAAGCTGGTGTTTTATGGAAAGCATTGGAAGACAAGTCAGTAAGTGTTTATGTATGTGTATGTGAGGGTCATCATGACAAGGAACAACCACCTAGTTTTTCATTAGTTCAACACATGTGAGGTCTTGTATTTTATTAGTTTATATTTATTATTAGAAGTGGAACAAACTAGCAGCTGAAGCTAAAGTTAGATATGAAGAACAGATGAAAGAATATAAAGATAATAAAGTGGAAATTGAAGCTCCTCCGAAAAGGTACATCTCGAATGCTAGATCTGTTCTAAAAAATACATGAAATCATCAAAATATTTCTCTATCTGTAGTGGAAGTTCAAAAAAGTCAAGCAAGAAAATGTCGAAATCTTCTCCAAAAAAAGAGGATACAGGAAAATTTAAAAGTGCTGAATTTGTCGATACAGATGACAGTAGTTCTGAAGACGAGACAGCCAAAAAGCAAATAAAGAGAAACAAGAAAGAGGTACGCAATTCATACATTATCGCGACTGTAAATGTTACTCGTCCGCATTCGAGTACTGAAGGACTTTCTGAGTTATTTTTTTTCTTTTAGACACCAACAAAATCCCCAGCGAGTAAAAATCAAAGAAAAAAGAAAGTGAATCAGAAAAAGATGAATCTATGTCTGAATGACCTCTTTCTGTCATGTAAAAATTGATGTTTTGCCTTCGGTATGTTAAACCTAACCATCCCTTTTGTAACAAATTAGCAATAGATTTTTATATATAGAAGGCTGTGAACTTTCCAATTGTGTAGCAAATGTGTAGATGCCAAGTTCGCAGGAGGGATTAAGAAATTTAAGATACCCCCAAAAAGTGTCATTTTTCAGCATGGAGAGGACTGGAAATCCCGTGTCATGTGCGACAAATGAGTCACACTGAAGTCTGAAACTCGTTTGAAACATGTACCACTCTTCCTAAGCTCACCTCTAGGCGTTAGACGCACCTTAAGCTGATGGATACTTGTTGAGAAAAAACGGTGAACAAATTTTAAAAGACGTTTGTCAAAGTGTGAAAACATTAGATGCTTATGAAACTTATGACGTAAGACCAAAAACGTTTTCAACGAGAAATAAATTTTTGTGAGAGTCAAAATGTTTTCTCTATTCCTCTTAGTAGAAATGAATATTGCACTCAATGCTGCCCACGTTTGTAGGAATAATCGATTGTTTTAGCCATAATAATTAACAGCCAAACAGGCTATTTGAAAGGGCGCCGTGTCTTCTAATAAAATATATATACCGTAGTCGCCACGGGGGGTTTGGGATTGTCTGACAGACTGCTATGTTTATTGCTTTTCATATCATGGAAATATTACTCTATTTTCATTGTTTTACTTCGGTGTGGGAACAGTTGGTTTAAACGTCGCATTTTATACTAAAAAAATACTAGAATAAAAATACGAGGATTACTAAGTATGCGCAATTTTTAACCTTACTAAAAGGTCATCATAATCGGAGTGGATCAAATGAAGAGATGAGTGATATGATATGAACAACTGTCTGTATTTTTGTCGCTTCTAACATGAAAAACTTGTGTGCGCTTATTTTGTTTGGGAAGTCGTAAAGAAACATCACAAAGTAGAAGTTTTTGTATTGAATTGTTATTAGCCACAGCTAGGCAACCAGCGTCATAAACAGGTACTGAATATATTAGCATAATTATTGTCATAAGTTATTTATCTTGTCTCGAGCGCAGAAATGGCGTTTGAAGAAAAACTATGTTTTGTACTTAATATTGATTCATATTAGAAAGGTAAGTGGGTTAGATATTTGAGATAACTCTCTAAGGAGATGAATACTATGTGTACATTTTGCTGTAACGCATATTTAACTTTGTGTTTACACACTGCAAACAAGTATAAAAGCCAGGTTGTGTTTGTCGAAATACGAACCTTAATCGACCAACTATCCCTTGTTTCTTCGTGAGTAGAAATCCAATGCTGTTTATTCGAATTGTATATCGGCCTGTTGCTTGCTATTAAAAGTCATTGTTGTCAATGTCTATTAGTAAAATGGCCTGTCCTAGGACATTTACGTCAATTTTCGAGCACATGCAAGTTATGATGGATGAAATGATTGAAATCATGAAATTATTACTGTTTTATTTTTAAGCCAAGTTTTTGCTATCTTTTTGTTAAGTCCGTTCTAAGGTTCCCTAGTTACTATTTGACACGCTAAGCCGTTTAACGAATTCCTCAACTTAATTTCTTATCTTTTAAAAATATCTTTTCTCCTTAAAAAATATTTGCTTATACTCGAAACATACATGACAAGTCGATGACAGATTTAGTTCACTTTTATGAACTCTTGTTCCCTACGTTCACACCAATATTTGCCGAGGGGAACGTGCCTTTTTGATTGACGAAATAAATGAAATTAATTTGACCTTGTACTCGCTCTTACAGCAATCTGTGTGATACGTTTCATTCGATATTTCATAGTTTGGTAGTCAATAGTGAACAGAAGTTTAAATTATTGTAGCCAAATTATGATTTAACTAGATTACATATATTTTCTCTTGACTTTTAGAGGAATTCTATCCAAACAAAATGATGCATAATTCAGGCAAGTTTTCCTTAACTTATAGCATACCATTTAATTTTTTTTCAATGCAAAGCTGGGTGGAATATGTGTCAAATATGTGTTTTCTTACTGCTAGTTATGCTTGCCTATGGCATATGTAAGAAAACATTTTTATCTATGCATATTTTGCAGCTGCATAAAGACATGACAACATAATTATGATAATAATGTACAAAAAGTGGCAAATATTCTAAACAAGATAATGATAGGTCAGCGTTCTGCATAACAATATCTAATAACTAGTCCATATTTAGGTGCCAAGTGTTGGAACAGTTTAAATCAACCTGTGTTACATGGAGAATATTTTACTCCAAATGCAAAAGATATCTGTAAGAAATGCAAATGCCTTGCTGGACAAGCTATGGGCTGCTTCTTTGAGAAATGTCCTCAATTACCTGGTTGTGATCGTTATAAACAAGTTGAGGGAACCTGTTGTGAATTTGAGTGTTTACAAGGTGTGAAATTTATCTCCATTTTCATTAGCAGTTGCCATATTTGACAATCCAATGGCACAATTTGTAAAGTGAAGTAACAACTCAGGCTCTTCATGTTTTTCTAGGTAATGGGCTATCAGGCAAAACAGAATTTGCAGTGCTGTTCTCATTAAGCACTGGGTTGGTGGTTTTGTTGATTATACTTTTTTTGGTGCTTTACTGTCAACATCAGAGAATCAAAAAGTCCAAAAAACAAAGTGAAATGACAAAAACACAATCTGCTACCGAACAGTCACAATCAACAACTGCATGCTCTCCTGGTGAGTTTAATCATTCAGTCAAGCAAAAAATACAAAAAAACAGCCATAACACAATTTTTTTTCAATACAATTTAATATAAAAGCTAACATTTCGTCTTAAAGCTAAGACATTTTCAAAGCGAATGAAATATGAATCTGTATTATATAGAACAGGTATATAGCATATAATAATTATAACTATTTGCAAAAACAAATTTACAAGTATGAGAGTGGACTGGATCAGAGTGGAAGCAAAGGAACAGAATTAACCTGTATATTTAGACAAGGTTTATATTTGGAGATGAGAAGCCTTTTGTGAACAAGATGTTCGTTGGGGAAAGCGCATTAAGATAGAATTTTGAAGTTGTCTAGCCAAGCAGTATGAGCAGTACTGTTGAGGTGGATAGCACAGGGGTACCACTTCTTTGACATGTGAGGGCAGAAATACCTAAGTGTTGAGATACTTGTCTGTGTGTAAGTGACAGACTGTTTGGCCCAAATACTTTGCGGAACAGCAACAACACTTAAAGGAATATACTACACAAATTGAGCCATTCATTTTGTCCAAAAATGTTTGTACGCAGTGGTCAAAGAGGCAACTATGGAAGTTAGTGAACAGAACTGTAAGAGATGGCTTTTGGTAGATGGAGGTTTCGAAAACACTATTCTTGCGTGTGTGATATTAATGTTGAGAAAGGCTAGCGTGGAATTAGATCCTGTTGTTGGCGATTGAGATAATCGAAGAATTAGGGTAAATGCTCAGAAGACTGCAAAATTAAAAAACATTCATCCACATAACGGCGATATGGCAATTGTTTAAAATTGGCAAGGTAGATACTCCACCAGTGTGAGCTCATAGCAACACCATCTATCTGTGGGTTGTAAATCATACTTATGAATTTGTTTTTGTAAATAGTTATATTTGTATTCTATGTATCATCTGTATTATATTTCATTTGCTTTGAAAATGTCTTAGGTTAAGGACAAAATGTTAGCTTAAATTGTATTTTATGGCTGTTCTTCAATCAATTGCAACTACATTCATTCAAAGGTAGCCACCATTAATAAGTACTATTGTAATTGTCTAGTAATTAAAGACAGTTTTTAAAAAAATTGCAAATATATTTATAGTTAATAAAATTTGCAGTGGCGTAGCAAATTTTATTTTATTATCATTATTCATTTCTTTAGAAATTCATTGTTTTCACAGTCAATGAACACCAAAATATTAGCATAGCATGACTAAATTGTTCAGCTGGCTACGCCACATTTTTCTAAACTTATTTTCATTCATGCAGGTGTCATTACACACCAGTTGAAACAACTCCACAAGGTCATACTGAGTTGCCACCACCATACTCAGCAGAGCCGCGCTGTCGTGTTGTAAATGGTCCTGGAACAAGAACTCCACCAAATGAACCTCCACCTCCTTATGCTGACAAGGAGGAATCTGCTGTTTAAGCTTCCTTCTTATAATCACAAAATGTTTCCTAGGATTCAACAAACCTTATAACTTAAAACAAATACCACTAGTGAGACATGTTTGTAGTAGACATATCAAGTATAAAAATATGAACTCCTATGATTCAGCATGTAAAATTGTTTTATATCTTTTTATCAAGAATAGCTTAGTCAAGTATATAACTATTTTTGCAATAAACATTTCTAGAAACATATTTTGCACTACTATTCTTCAGGACGCATTGCGAAATAGAAATATCTCCATTTTAAGATATTGCAAAATGCGTTGTTCTAATTAAGAACATTGGGTATAGAAATAACACGTTTATTTTAATTATATGATTTATATAATTAAAGCAAGTCTGGCATGAGTTAGTTGATTATCTATTGTTGTCAATGCGTTCATTGTCCATTGGAATTTTCTTTGTCTTTGAAGTAATAAAAGGCAGTTGAACCTACAATCTAGACGAAACTCAGTCTTTGCACTTGCAGTTTCGAGGAAGTTCGGGAAAAGTTGGAAGTCTTGCTTAGGTACGTGGTGATATTCCTGCCGATTTTTACTGCTTCATCTTCTATATTCCGGTTGAAAATGTCAAATGCAAGAGAGCAGTTACTTTAATTTAGTTTTTCCTTGCTTATTTGATTTCAGAACGAACTATGGCGCCGAAAGATGGGGAAGGAGAAACGTAAAGGCTTGCTCGCAGCGAATGATAGGTATTGTTCTATTAATATTTGTGTGTATTTTGCATTTGTGACTTGAAAAAACACGTTGTGTGTGTGTTCGTTGATAACATCAATGATTCCGACATGGACAGCCTGACCTAGGGTCTGGGGGTTTGAAATTAGAGTTTTCCTTCTCTTAGGTGAACTGCACTGCCTACCATGGCTAATGAGCTCCACCTTCCCAAAGTAACTTGATTTTACACACAATCATTAAAATCTTGTTCGACAAGTGTCTGTACTGATGGAGGAGGAACAGGGGCAATATTGGGTGCAATTTGTCTAGGATCATCACTTGGAATACCAAGTCTTTTGTTTACATTCCCTTCTGATTCGATCCTCTTTATAAAAACCTTCTGCATCAGTTCAGGAATGTAACTAAATTCTTTTGGTACAAGAACACGAACACGGCACCACTGTTGTGTACGCTTACTGAACTTCCGACCGTACCTAATAAAAATAACAACTTTACAATTCCATACAATATGAGTACCATTACACTATAAGAATGCACAGGACCTGAAAAGTTGTTCACACTTAGGATGGGAACACTAAGGCAAAAATTTCAATACCAGTACCTTTCTTTCCCATCAGCTGTAGTTGCTGGTGCTCGGCCTTTGTGGTGGTTAAAGTCCAAGGCAGCAAGCTGGTTTCTAGCTTGGTATACTGAGTATCTGAAGATACAACAAACATCAACATTCTTTTATTAACAATGCTTCCTTGCATGGAAATCAACCATGATAGGAGTTTTATTAGCTATTACCTTTGTAATAATATGTCATAAACTTACGAATAGGCATGGCGCTTTGGAGCATACATCAAAATTACATTATGAAAGGACTCTAAAAATCCTGTGTGCCTAAAAAATATATCAAACTTTGAGATGATATAACTTATCTGAAATTTTCAAATATCCAATCTCATTTGTTACCTGAAGTTAACATAATACACCAAAGTGTTAAAAAAGCGAGTGTCCAGAATGATCTTTGCCAGTGCTTTATGGGCAGAAGACTCTTTCTTAAGCCATGGCTTCTTTCTCTCACTTTCATTAAGAGGATCATGTTCACATTTTCCACCATTTACACCTTCCTCCAACACCCACTCATGCTCATCAAAAACATGGTGTAAAATACCAATCCACTTATCCTATTAAAAAAATATAAAAAATACAACATAAAGTGACTACATATTAACACATGTATGTACAGTTTGCACGAACTAGATAAGTATTGCTGCAAAAAAGTAGTACTTCAATGTGAATCTTACTTTGAGATTTTTTGAGTCATTAGCACATGTTTTTGAACAATACCAAAAATGGTTCCTTATTGATGGTGCCCACAAGGTCAAATCTGCATTGTCTTTAGATTTAGCAGCCTAAAGAATAAAATCAATTCTAAATAAAGAAAGTTTTTTAACTAATTGCTGGTTGATATTTCAATACTTACAGTAGTGATTTTCTTTGCAATGTTCTTTGCTCATGCACACATCATTCTGATGTGTGACCTCCTTATATTTCTCTTCCCTTTCTAAAGAATGCAATAATGCTTAATAAACAAATGCATGTTGTAAATATTCCCTTACTGTCTTTTAAAGGGTAAACCAAAATAATTATATAACATTGTAATCAATCTGCAAATGAAGTTGTTAAATTATTGAAAGTCTGACAATATTGATTATAACAGGTTGAACTATTAGAGTTTCAGGAATTGCCATATTGTTATAATGTAGATACTTACTCATCAATGCAGCAAATTTCAATATGACCATCAGTTACCACCTCCTTCATAATTATTGTGATGCAAGCAGTGTGTCCATCCCTCTTTCAAACCCAATCCTCTCCATATTATTGCTCTTACCAGCAGCTTCTCTTCACATCAACCACATCCATTTGCAGTATGGCACGATCATTGGTATCAGCCAAGCTGTAAGTACAATATTGTGCACTATGGCCAGGCGAGTCAATTCCTTCCATCACCACTCAATATAACCTCTTTGTTAGTCATTAATGGCAGGGATGATGTACAACTTCTGACACTGATTGAATAATATTGATGAGAAATACTGCAGATTACAGAAGTTGAACATCAACCCCACCTTGGCGTAGGAATTGCCAGACAACAACAAAGCAGAAGCAAGCACGAGGTTGCCTGCTCTAATCTTGTTGCAAGAGGGTTGAGCTGCCCATCTGCCTCCAACATAACCAGACCTACACCCCCAGGATACGACCAGGCATGTTCCAACATATGTTTTCTTATAGCTCAACACACGGCCACATCCTTGTTGTTTACAAACACTCCCATTAATGATGTTATCAAAGCTATAAGAGTGTCTGTAAACACAATACACTTTTCTTTCTTGATTGCATCTTCAGGACTGACTTCTTCCACAGTAGAGATGTATTCTGGTTGAATCGTCTTATGTTGCTGCTGTTGTTGTTGTTGGGTTCCAACATCTTCTGTGGGTTCATCTCCATCATGTCCACGGATTGTCACATTGAGCAAGTCATCCAGTAATGGCACGTCAAAACCCGGGGGACATACACTACAGTAAAATGGCAGTAAGAGATATTATTGGACGAAATATTTTATGCCATATTCAGTGATATATAATGTGTATATTTATATTTTAAATCAATAAGCATTACAGTAGGAATGTCACAAAGATTATTATTGAGGTTTTGCATCATCACTTACTCAAGAGAATCGTCCGACAAAACCTGGTCTGCCTGGATAGTGTGTTCACCAAAACTGTCATTATCATCATCACTTTCATCATCAGAACTATCATCTTTGGCTGTCAACGTTCGACTGTCAGAAATCACACTCTGACCCGACCTGAGATATAAACACATATTGGGCTATTCCATTTAATATCCGCAACCCCCCTATCGAGGAGCTTGCTTCTGGCCAACTTTACCCCTGAGGAAAATACGATTTTTTTTCATACCCCAGAAGAATTCCTGACCTAAATATGTCTACCCCTAAAGAATTCCTGACTTAAATATGTCTACCCATAAAGAATTCCTGACTTAAATATGTGTACCCATAAAGAATTCCTGACTTAAATATGTCTACCCCAGAATTCCCGACTTTCGTATGTCCACCCCGTCCACCCCTAAAGAATTCCTGACTTAAATATGTCCACCCCTAAAGAATTCCTGACTTAAACATGTCTACCCCTAAAGAATTCCCGACTTTCGTATGTCTACCCCTAAAGAATTCCTGACTTAAATATGTCTACCCCTAAAGAATTCCCAACTTTCGTATGTCCACCCTAAAGAATTCCTGACTTAAGTATGTCTACCCCTAAAGAATTCATGATAATGACCCATCCTTGAGGAATTCCAAGGCCCTAACCTGACGCAACCCTGAAGAATTCCAAGCTCCTCGATAGGGGGGTTGCGGATATTAAATGGAATAGCCCATTGCGTATTTAAAAAGTAATACTCTCTGCGCGAAACTTTGCATGTATGGGTTTCAAATTATAAACTCAGTAATCACAATAAGTTTCAAATTACCTGATAGAATATGATGTTCTAACATCCGACAAAGCAGACAATGGACGCGGATTTGAGTGCGCGTTTGGCGTTGAGGTTTTAACTATAAAATATTTCATACGAATGTTTTATGCGAATATTTTAAAAAATAATAAATGTTTACGTTTTTGGGGCAGCACTTTAAAACATATGTTCTTACTGGGAGAAGAAAAATATTTGGAAGGTGTACTTGGCGGCATATCCCTTGATTCCATTACCGTTTCGGTTTGCGTCTCTGCATTGCTAAAGTGAGTTCAACACATACATAAAAAGCATTATGAAGTAAACAAATAACACACAAAAAAGGTCAGAGGTTTTATCATTTTATACTTACCAAACTATACGATTCATCGCAAGATAGCTGTCAAGAAGCATATCCGCCACATCCTTGTCTGTTCTCAATTTATGCTGCTCCTTAAACGCTCTCCATCGAGGGAAAGAACCCAACAAATACACTTTAGAGGCATCTCTACTAGCATAATATTCTTTTCTACTCGACGACATGACTCAGTGCTCTTGAAAGATTGAGAATTTCTTTCTTAAATTGTCGGCTGGTCATGGTTTTTAGACTGAACAATCCGGGGGATTATCAACTTCGGGTGGAGTCCCCAGGCTGGCGCACGCGCAGAAGCCGTGTCTTTAAAACAGGCAAAAAAATAAGAAATTTCAACCGCTCTTCACCGCAATTTCGGCTCTCTTCACCGCAATTTCCACCGCTCTTCACCGCAATTTCCACCGCTCTTCACCGCAATTTCCACCGCTCTTCACCGCAATTTCCACCACTTTTCACCGCAATTTCCACCGCTCTTCACCGCAATTTCCACCGCTCTTCACCGCAATTTCCACTGCTCTTCACCGCAATTTCCACCGCTCTTCACCGCAATTTCCTTTCGCTTCTACGCATGTGCGAGCTTTGTTTATATTTTTCGTTTTGGTGTGAATCCATTTCATTTGCACAACATGAAGTATTGAAAAAACTAAATTAAAATGGCGGATGCATCAAGAGTGAAGAGTGGAGCTTTATAAAACCATTCAACAATTGTCTTTTAAAAGACAACCAAATAAATATTTTGAAAAACAACTACTGGGAGATATCTCCTGTAAGTTTGTCGATTTTATCTAAGTTTGAGATACTGTGTATAATTATTTTTACAGTGATTGTTGGATAATTATTAAATTTGGATAAAAGATTATACTCAGATAATGATTTTGTTTATAAAATACCTTCGTACTCTGTTCTAATATTGCAGGATTCAGATTTATGAGCAAGATAATCATGCTTCCATGGTCAAAGTAGCTCTTCTGAGTGTGTTTCATCATCAACATCAATGCCATGTGGGTCAACATCACTGAATGAAACTGCTTCAATACGAAAGCTTACAAGTGAAGATATAGATAGGAGAGGATTTTGATGGCGAGTATGGTTATCGAATGATTGAACTTTCAAACCTAGCAAGTGCATTTCAGTCCTTGCATGATTGGGAATTAGGCGGAGAGTTGAAAGTTACCGATGATGAGTCTCGTAGATATGGAAATAGCACAGTCATTGTTGAGTCAGATATTGCAGAGATTGCTGTGAGTTATGATAGCACATGGTCTAAGCGCGAGGTTCACTGCAAACTTTGGAATTGATTTTGTTATTTCGGTTGACACAGGTGAGGTTCTTGACTATAGTTTTGAATCCAAATTATCGAAGTTTGACATGTATGCATTATTGATAATTGGTGATAAAGTTGCCAACCTTAGTATAAATTAATAAATGCTAATCACTGAGTAGCATGTATGCGCACAGAACACGAATGTTGGGCTACCTATCGTATTACAAGATGTTTCACCATTCGTTCTCTCACTTCTCTGAGCAAGAAAAAAAAAAATCCTGAAAATTCAACCTTTTTCACCACAAAGAAAAACCACGCCTCGTGTTTTAATAAGTCACTGTTGCTATCTTTTTCTTGATTTACTCAACTATATGGATCGCTTCTGACACTTCACCCTCGCAAAATTTCGTACATGCTTTAATATTTGTGCATGGTGAGACTGAAGTGAAGACTTCTAAAAGTCGGACAATTAATTGATAATTGTCATGTAATTTCCTGGTATAACATCCCAACCTATACATTGTAGTTAAAATATAATAACAATATCAACCTCAAATTCAACTAATATTTGTATGCAATCAAGCAAAATTTGGACATGCTGGTTGTTAATTTTACTGCAATTATTACACAAGATATGATTACACTCCTTTATCATTACCCAATCCTGTCAGAATTGCTATCACATGTGAATGCAATATAATTTTTGTACACAATCATTATTTAATTATTGTTTTCAGCATAAATTATGCCTTAAGAGGCCTTCTCCAGACAATATTTATTGCAAGCTATATGATATTTGCTCCAATATTTGGCTATATTTGTGAAAGATACAGTTGCAAGCTCATTATGATCTATTGCCTCGTTATCTGTTAACAACATTTCTTAGCACACTACACCGAAGGAAAATGGTAGGTTAATGAATAGTTTGGTATGTTCTTGGTTCAAAAGTATCTTCCGCATTTAGTGGTGGCAATAATTTTATAATAGAGAAAACACAGGGTATGTAAACATGTGAAATAAACATCTTATTACTTGATGTGTTTCAGGTAACTCCAATCTTGGGTGTGCTTCTTATCATCTTGGGCTTTTAATTATATCTGTTGTTTGAACCTGTCTAGGGGCAAATTGAAAAGAGTCAGGGTGATATTGTTGCAGACAAGGATGTTATCATTCGTCGTTCATGGTTGAATGGTGCGAAACATATGTTACGCTGGTAGGTGATTTTTCACAACAGATGTTGCTTACTGCAGGATGAACTGTTTAGAACTGACAGAATTATCCAGTGTAAATATAGTTAGTTTGTGTAGGTTTCCTGCTGTAGTAACGCTCAATCAATAAGAGATGATCCAGTATGCTATTCCTTGTTATGCCATTGATCCTAGCTTCAAAATATATTGTTCTTTCTTCATTAAATTAAACATGTATATCTGAAATTAAACATATATTTAATATTTCCGTAAAGACATTTCTATCATATAAGTGTTAGCAATTGTTTTGTTTCTTTGTAGATACAGACAGAGCCACAGCATCGGCAGTCCTTATATTGTGGGTTTGGTATGTAATATACAATTTCTTTTACCTAAAGCTATGAATCACCGACACGCCCACTGAATCTAATTATGACGTCACTTCCGGTCCGCGGGGCTTATTTCGCTACTTCCTTACGCTTTGACTTTTGACTCCCGGTTTTTCGATGGGCGTGGTCAGACACGATCACTTAATCTAATTATGACGTCACTTCCGGTGGGCGGGGCTTATTTCGCTACTTCCTTACGCTTTGAGTTTTGACCTCCGGTTTTCCGATGCGCGTGGTCAGACACGCCCACTTATTCTAAATATGACGTCACATCCGGTCCGCGGGCTTATTTCGCTACTTCCTTACGCTTTGACCTTTCACTTCCGGTTTTTAAATAGGCGTGGTCAGACACGCACGCTTAATCTAATTATGACGTCACTTCCGGTCCGCGGGGCTTATTTCGCTACTTCCTTACGCTTTGACTTTTGACTTCCGGTTTTTCGATGGGCGTGGTCAGAAACGCCCACTTAATCTAATTATGACATCACTTCCGGTCAGCGGGGCTTATTTCGCTACTTCCTTATGCTTTGACTTTTGACTTCCGGTTTTTCGATGGGCGTGGTCAGACACGATCACTTAATCTAATTATGACGTCACTTCCGGTGGGCAGGGCTTATTTCGCTACTTCCTTATGCTTTGAGTTTTGACCTCCGGTTTTCCGATGGGCGTGGTCAGACACGCCCACTTAATCTAATTATGACGTCACATCCGGTCCGCGGGCTTATTTCGCTACTTCCTTACGCTTTGACTTTTGACTTCCGGTTTTTAAATAGGCGTGGTCAGACACGCCCGCTTAATCTAATTATGACGTCACTTCCGGTCCGCGGGGCTTATTTCGCTACTTCCTTACGCTTTGACTTTTGACTTCCGGTTTTTCGATGGGCGTGGTCAGAAACGCCCACTTAATCTAATTATGACGTCACTTCCGGTCAGCGGGGCTTATTTCGCTACTTCCTTACGCTTTGACTTTTGACTTTCGGTTTTTAAATAAGCGTGGTCAGACACGCCCACTTAATCTAATTATGACGTCACTTCCGGTCAGCGGGGCTTATTTCGCTACTTCCTTACGCTTTGACTTTTGACTTTCGGTTTTTCGATAGGCGTGGTCAGACACACTCACTTAATCTACTTATCACGTCACTTCCAGTCTGCGGGACTTATATCGCTACTTCCTTATGCTTTGACTTTTGACTTCCGGTTCTTCGATGGGCGTAGTCAGACACGCCTACTTAATCTAATTATGACGTCACTACCGGTAGGCGGGGCTTATTTCGCTACTTCCTTACGCTTTGACTTTTGACTTCCGGTTTTTAAATGGGCGTGGTCAGACATGCTTACTTAATCTAATTATGACGTCACTTCCGGTCAGCGGGGCTTATTTCGCTACTTCCTTACGCTTTGACTTTTGACATCCGGTTTTCCAATAGACGTGGTCAGACACCCCTACTTAATTAAATTATGACGTCACTTCCGGTCCGCGGGGCTTATTTCGCTACTTCCTTACGCTTTGACTTTTAAATTCCAGTTTTTATTGGGCGGGGTCAGACACGCCCACTTAATCTAATTATGATGTCACTTCTGGTCCGCAGGGCTTATTTCGCTACTTCCTTACGCTTTGACTTTTGACTTCCGGTTTTTCGATGGGCGTGGTCAGACACGCCCACTCAATCTAATTATGACGTCACTTCCGGTCCGCGGGGCTTATTTCTTTACTTCCTTACGCTTTGTTTTTTGACTTCCGGTTTTTAAATGTGCGTGGTCACACACACCCATTTAATCTAATTATGACGTCACTTTCGGTCCGCAGGGCTTATTTCGCTACTTCCTTACGCTTTGACTTTTGACTTCCGGTTTTTCGATGGGCGTGGTCAGACACGCCCACTTAATCTAATTATGACGTCACTTCCTGTGAGCGGGGCTTATTTTGCTACTTCCTTACGCTTTGACTTTCAACTTCCGATTTTTTGTGGGCGTGGTCGGACACGCTCACCTAATCGAATTATGATGTCACATCCGGTGGGCGGGCTTATTTTGTTACTTCTTTACGCTTTGACATTCAACTTTCGATTTTTTGTAGGCGTGGTCGGACACGCATACTTAATATAATTATGAAGTCACTTCCGGTAGGCGGGACTTATTTCGCTACTTCCTTACGCTTTGACTTTCAACATCTGATTTTTATATGGGCGTGGTCGGCAGTAAGGTCGCAGTCCTCAGAACGTGCATTCTAATTGGTTGACCTGTAGCCAATAAAAATCGTTCCCATGTAAACGTCATAGGCGCTCTCTGTATGAATTTATTATTATTATACACTCGCTCGCTGGGCTGGCTACATCAAATCATCGGTTATTTCCTAAAATAGTGTTTTTCGCTTCTACGTTCGCTCGCTGGCTTCATCGGTTCTTTCTTATAAAAGTTCTTTGAGGGACAACTTCGGGTTATATATTATTTATGGCGTCTTCCGGCCTATCTGATGTCGCAGCGGAAGAAGGGGGAGCAGATACGACAAAAGCCAAGGTGAAATATTAATTTTTCTGCTTGTATTAATATTCTGCTTGTAGTAAGTTTTATAATATTTCGAATTATCTTTATTTTTTAATGTTATGAACTGAACTACATTAGAATTGACAGATATAGTTGGATGAACACAAAAATAACTTTATAAATACGACATATCAGACGCTTTTCACGTGCCATTTATTTTGCGTTGATTTGCATCGGGCAGGAGTATTTTGTCAATGCCTATCTAATATATCAGGCCACACTCTGCCTGTTGGGACAAGGCATTGGTAGGTGCTTAAATGTGTATTTTTTACAATTAGCTAACCTCAGGATGGTCCAAGTGTGGCAAGGGTTCCTGTCCAAATTGTGGTTTGCAATATAGTTGCCGTTACAAGCCACCAAGTTGTTCAGGATGCAATTTTGAGCTTGGAGGATCATATGTCCCTAAAAAAAAGCCTCGTCCATTGCTGCCTAAGTGTACCTTGGTGGTGCAGCCATCAGACGGGTTATCAATCTACTCGGTTAATACCAGTACCCATGATGATCGATGTATTGTGGTTCGTGAAGAGGCTTCATCTATGTGTCAGCATCACCTGTGTAAACAGAATAGAGCCATTCATATTAACAGCCAAAAAGTGGCAAGCTTTAGTTGTCAGCATTTGGAATCCACCAGAGATTGTACAACTCCTCTTCAGACATTCAATGGGATATCAGATGAGGTCATTTCCAGTTATCTCTGTGATGATGAAACAAAAAAAACCCTGGCAGAAGTGGCAAGAGGGTCCACAATAGGTTTTTCGGGATGCGGGAAATAGGTCATTTTTCGATTGGGAAGCGGGATATTTAAAAAATAGGATGCGAGATTCGGGAATAAAATTTCTTGCGGGATACGGGATTTTCGTAATTCGTGCCTCGGGATTCCGATATATGAAATATTTTAATGACGGGATACGGGATTTAAAATATGCCGTTTGACGAATTTGAAGAGGTTTTGAGTCTGAAAAGATTCAACAAAATACTTTATTCACATGTAATAAATATTGTATGAATTTTCGCTATAAAACGGACATAGGTTACTAAATTGCAAGGCGGGATCGGGATTTCACTATAAAAGCGTCGGGATATCGAGAATTTTAAAAAAAAAACATCGGGATATCGGGATTGGGGTAGCCTATTGTGGACCCTCTGGCAAATGCATCAAAGGCACAGTCATTTCCAGTTGTTGTGCATGTTTCTCCAACTATGTATTGCGTCTTTGGAATGGCAACCACAAACAACACTGTTGGATATTGCCATGTCAAGGTAACTGAAAAGGAAATTAAATGCTGTTCCAAAGACTGCAAAGGTATGTTGAAGAGCAAGCAGCAAAAGTCCCGAAAAGTTTGCACCCACATCCATCTTTTATTGGCTCTTGGCATTTTTACACACAACGAATGTGTGTCAGCAGACCTTCCCCCACCAATAGTGCCAGACAGTTCCTTGACAACAATTGACAGAAGGGGAGCAAGTCTCGCAAGGCAACCATGGGACTTAAAATGAAGTTAAAGTTGCCATATGTCATTCCAAAACCCATTATTCAGGCAGCAGGTAAAATGGATTTTTCCGGGTGGCCAGAGCAGTTTGAACCAGACCAAACTTTGTGTGATTTGTGTAAAAGTCCTCTTGGTCAGTCCAAGCCACACCCAAATCAACGTGGGCGATCAATCATAATGACCAATGGATGTCCATTCAAAACAGTCAAAATGCTAGTCAAAGATTGCTCATGTTGCTTTGCTATGCACCAAGTGTTTCCCTACACATTAGGTAAGTATATACAGTTCAATATTTTTTGTAGTATAGTAATTCTATGTTGACAGGTGAGTTTCTATTTCACAGTGTACATGTTGGCTCAGGGACAAAGGTTAATTTGATTCAATTTTATTGCCTTTTAGGTCTGTTTAATATTAGTGACAAGGTTCTGGTGGCACTTGAAATTCTATTAGACTTCCGAGAATTGTTCAAAAGAGGAGTGCCAATTTCTGTAGCCATAAAAAGTAAATTAGCTGTGATGGTCCAGAAAGTTGAGGTAATTTCAAGATGATTGTGTATGTACTATGCAATAGTATGCTGTACAACTGCCTAGAATCTGTCAGTGTCAGATTAGTCTTAGTATTTACAATAGGACTAGTCTAATAAAATTGGCAAATCGTCTGGTATGGGAATTTGTTAAGGCCCTGTTAAACGATGCAATTTTTCTTGAAACTTGCAACTCCACTCTTGACTGATGTAACATTGGCAAAGTGTGACTTCACGAATTAAAATCTCTCAAGAGTAGCATTGCATTGCAAGTTGCAAAAAAAATTGCACTGTGTAACAGGACCTTTAGTCTTGCTCTAAATATTAACAAAGTATCCTGTTGTATTTATTAAGGAATCGCCAACAGAAAATGAGTTGGAAAGTATTGCTACACATTTGTACAATGGGTTTTATTGCTTTGAGGCAATAACTGAACGCAATATGGATTCAGGTGTTTGTGGAATTTGTGGTACTGTTGGTGAAGTGTATTTTGGGGATAGGAATGAAAAAAATTGCTGCAGCATTAGCGAGGTAAAGCATTCATGGA